ACATGTAAAAAGCAAGGAAATCCCACTCACTCTTTTTTTTCTCTCCTGCACGCATGATTTTACAGACAGGATGCTTTTAACGTTGCAGCTTTTAATAATGAGGACTTCTCATTCTTCTGCATGCTGCTCCACACTGCAAAACCCTCCCTGTCATCACTTCCACTGACAAATGGGACCAGCAGCTGTGCTGGGACCCTGGCACACTTCAGATGGGAGTGCGGCTCCTTCTCCTGCGCCGACAGCGGTCCCCGGAAAGATGAAGGTGGAAGAGAACACTGGGAGATGGCACGCAACATCTTTTCTCAAACTCAACCGCCTTCTCCTGAGAGCCACTGTCAAATTCTTCCAAGCCGTGTCGCATAAGCAGCTGACGTGACGGAAAGGTATCTTCTGTGGAAGAACGAGAGAGTCGCTTCAGCAAAGCCGAGACGCGTTCTCCAGGACAGCGGGGGCGGGTTCCCTGGCTCATCCGAGCAGCTGTGAGGCCTGCTCAGGAACAGCAAGTCAAGAGAGAGGGCCCGAAGGTCCCAATCCACCCAGCCACCAGAGGAAGAAACAGGCGCGTTGCTGCTGTGGGGCCCCTGGGAGCCCCAGGGCAGCACACTCCACCCCGGACCTGGGGACGGGCGGGACTCTCCTCTGAGCTGCATGTTAAACGAACCCGGGATCAGGAACTCGTTCATCGAGAGCGAGAGGCTGCTTTCTGATGGAGTGCTGTAATTAGGCCACCATACAGGGGGAAAAAAAAACAAATCCTTAATAATTAAAAACGGAATTAAGAAGTCTTTTGCATCTTCCCTGCTAATGATTTCACACAGGGCTGTCGGTGAGGCTCTCTTTTAATTTGAACATTTTAAAAGCGCCTTCTCCCCTTTCAGCTTTTTTAACACGTCTCCATTTTCACAGTAATAAGGGCAGCACAGATCATCCCGTGCACCACGATCGATATTTGCAATTGATAGTTATTAGTCCTCAGAAACGAATATCCTGCCCTACGAGACGGAACGCTGAGCAGGCCTCTGAGCTGACGGCTGGCATGAACCACGAGCTGAGCCGTCTCTCACTCTAACCAGCCCTGCCTGCTAAAGGCAGGAGCAGTTTTCCAGAATACAGTTCTACATGAAATGCATATAACAGAAAATCACAACTGAAAGAACATGTTTTAAGAAATTCTAACTCCAGCTGTGAGCACACTGCACAGTGCCTGGCACCCACATTCATCCCACAAAGTAATTCTGGAGGAGAATCTGCCAGCTCTGCACACCAGCAGGGTGCAGCTTTCACCCACTCCTGCTCACACACTTGCTCAGGCTCCGCCAGGTTGGTTGGGCATCGCTGGTGAACAACAATCTGCAAATCTTGCCACAGACTTTCTGTCAGACACAAGTCTGGACTCCTGCAAGGAAAGCCTCTAACCTATTTTCTCTTTGACACGGAAATGCTCTTCTATTGCAGTCAATTGAACTGTAACCTTTTCACAGTCACCATTAGCCTCACAGGGACATGCCTAACCTGTTTTATTCTTGCCTGGGTACTCAGTTTGGAAGGACAGTCATACACCTTCCACATCTTTATGACCAACTGAGCACAAAAAAATACTATGCATCTTGACAATTTTTTTAACTCTTCTCTTGATCTGGGCTTTTCTACATATTTATCCTTGAACTGTTTTTCATGGTTGAATCTTTCCTTGAAATTCACAACCTGACTGGAACAGTTGTATTTATTCTGAATCATTGTTATTTCACACAGATGAAGACCGTTCAGTTAATTGTGTGATGACTTTCTGTCACATGTGTAGAACAGCCCCCGTCAAAAAGGAACAAAGCCGCAGAAGGATGAGCACAGATCATACTTAACACCCGATTCCAGGTACTTCGAACCAAACCCCCTCTCTTCTTAGTCTCCTCATTTACAGCATTGCAAGAAATTGAATACATGAGCAGTAATAAGAAACATTTCCTTTCCTGTGCAGAGCTCTAAAGTTAAGCATCAGTTTAGATTTTGCTTGAGGAGACCGATGTCTGATACAGCTCCAGTTCAACAGAATAAGAGGCAGATAAATGAATTCATCAATTGAGTAACATCAGGGTTGCCATTAAGCCAAAGTGTTACCGATTGTATTCCCGTGGACACAGATCGAGCAAGAAGTTGATTTCCGAACACAGTAAACACGGCCAGTGAACCTTAGAAACAACACGTCATAATGCTCAATGCACATATATATTTACCGTTACAAAGTACTAACATTGCAGACCTGCTCACAAACCTCTGTGAGCACTTTTCTTCCATTACAGTTTTCTGTCGTTCTCCTCCTATAATTTGCAGGTTCTAAAACATTGTGTACTTTGAGGCTTTGAAAAGGACAACTATTGTTAATTCCTGCCTCCCACATGAGAATTATCCTCCTCTTTTCTTGTTCCAGGCTTTTCTTTTTATTATTCAAATGTGGCAAAGCTCTGATCCACGAATGACAAATTACTTGTAAAGTTGCATTACCATCAACCGCTGAAACCACCTCCCCTGCGCTGTCCTCTGAGCTGCTCCGGCTCAGCACAACAGCAGCGACAAAGCTGGGATACCGAGACCGGGGGTTGCAGAGAGTTTTATCTGAGGTGGTTGGGAGGTGAAGGGGTCAACTGGGCTCCAGCAGTTAGCAATTAGACCTCAGAAGGTGTGACAACAGAGCCACGGACAACAAAAGCGTCTCTGGATTGAGAGATCATCTGAGTTTCGCTCTCTGCGAGAGCCGATTCAGCCGAGACGTACATCAAAATGAATGCCCCCAGGCAGTATGGGCTGCAGTCCATAAATCCTGCTCGTTTGCAAAAACAAATCACCATGGAGACCAAATTTTAGTAGCACTGTCCCACTGTTCCTGTTAGAGATTAGAGGCCTGTCACCAGCTATCTTTCTCCAGTTTGGTGCTGGAGCGAAGAGTGAGCGCTGAAGACAGACAGAAAGATTCACACCCC